GGAAACCCTGAACCCTATAAATCCTGATGTATTCCTATAGAACCCGTACATAACCCCTACGACCCCTTTTCAAGGTACCCCCCCCCCCCCCATTTGGGGGAAGCCACCTCTTAAGCAAATATGAAAGTTCAAAGTGCCGCCCTCACCCAGGGATGACATCAAAGGAGCCTAGAGGCTGACTTCATCTAGGAAGGCCATTCATGGGCTGGGTTTTACGGTCTAGGGGTTTAGGGTTCAGGGTTTAGGTATCCTAAACCCTAAACCCTAAACCCTGGTTTAGGGTTTGGTTTAGGGTTTGAGGTTTAGGCTAGGTCCTCCAACCTCCAACCCCCAACCGCTACACCCCAAGCCATGAACCCAGGCCCCCCTCATGTTGAATATTCTCAGTATGGTGTAGTATGATATATATATATATTTCTTTGGCTGTGTTTTTTTTCATACTGGGAGGAGGGGTCCAATCCCAATCTCGATGACCCTACACCCTAAACCCTAAACTAGCCCACCCCCTTAAGGCCTGCGACGAGCCCTTCGAGCAGGATGATGAGCTTTGAAGTCCTCAAGGCCCTTGCTGCTGCCCAAAACCCCAAGGCCTAAACCCAGGGCTAAGGGGGTCTAGGGCTTGAGGGTTTAGGGCTTAGGGTTTAGGGCCCTGAGCCCTGAACTCCACGACCTGAACTCAAAAAAACATGAAAAGTTGCAAAGCCGGAAGCCCCAGAATTCCTGCAAATGAGCACAGTCCTCAGGACAGGTGGAGGTTTCTTATTACCAGGGGGTCTGCCAGAAGTCGGACTTTTCAATCTGGTTAGTAGCACCCTCGGCGGACCTTGACAAGCCTGACATGGGGATTTCACAAAATTAGGTGTACCATTTTGAGGGTCCCCATAATAAGAGCTATAGTATCTTGGAGTACATAAGGGTGTCCTTCAAATTTAACACTACCATATATAATCTCTGGATGTGCTTTGAATGGCGGGCTTTCGGGAGTTTCTGGATGCAGCATAACCCTGGCAGTCGATGGAACCTTGCTTTTTGCATCTCCGAACTCGTGCAGGCTGATCTGCGGAGCTACGACAGCGAGCTGACCCAGAGTCCAGGCTAAGTAGATAGAATTGAATTTGGGCATTGGGGAACCTATAGTATAGTCCCTGCATCCCCTTCTATCTACTTGAGGAGGACTACAGTTTGCGCCTCTGCTAGGGCAGGGGTAGCTCATGACCCCAATGCGGGCATGAGGGTGGTGGAAGGCAAGTTGCACGAAGGATCGATTGTTGCGGCCAATGCTGGAACCTCGGGGGATCTGAAAGCAACAGCATGGGGCCAAAGTACCCGCAAGTTTCGGGTAAGCTTGAGATCCTCCTATGGGAATCCCGCCGCTTCATGACTTGATGCTACCGGAGCTGCGAAATACAGCACTCCTGGCATTTGGACCTAGCCGGCCTTTGCAACCTTGCTAGGCGGGACATCCGCAATACAGGTGAGCATGGGCCTTTGGCTCAGAGCATTCATTTGAGAAAAGCGCGCTGCCCTAGGCCTCTGCTAACTTGCTTCTGCCATGAGGGGGAGGGTATCGTTTATAAACAGCGTGAAAATCTGGAAGGACTCGCGTGCAACAAGAATAAGGCAGTCCAGCTCCAAATCGAGCTAGCACTTCATCAACCAGTGCCGCTTCAAGCGAACTATGACTCTAACGTGCCTGGCTTTGGTTTGTGCTTTGCATTGTTTGCTCGCTAGTTACAGCTATTTCTTTCAGCGCCGTACTACAAGCATGGGATTTCTTATAACCCCAAACCCTAAACCCTAATCCCTATATATCCCATTATAGTAGTCTCGATTTTATTTTCCATTATCCCAACATAACCCCTAGGGATTTCTTATAACCTTCCTTCCGTCACGGGCCCCAGCTCTTGGGAGCTATTACCCGAGGACTCCGGCAAATGGTAACCATGTTTTTGAGACGCCCTGGACCTGTCCTTTTCCTGTCGTTTACAGAAAGCCCATAGCCCCTAAAACGGGATGCACCTTTTTGAGCACCCCGAACCCATAGACCCTAAACCCTAGACCCTAGGAGAGCAGGATGTTTTGGGCAGCAGGTGCTACTCCTCCTCGAGCCCGGCAGCCGAGGTGACGATCGGGCTCTATAATATGGGAAGTATGTTGGGGGCTATATAATGATTATATAAAGGCTATTTATGGTAATGGGATTAAGGGTCCATATTAGGGGTCCCTCCTACAGTCCCTGGCAGTTTTTTTTGGTGGGACATTGAGTAAAAAGCCTGAGATCAGGAATGAGGAAACTTGGGACAAGCTTAAGGTAAGAGTAAACTTGCAAGTCGGCAATCCGAATTTGCTGTGGGCCCTTACAGAAGTTCCACCGAGAACCCGAAAGACCAAACGCCAAACGTTAGACCCTGAATCAAAAGCCCCAAACCCTTAACCCTAAGCCAAAAAACCACAATCCTACATAACCCCTATATAACCCCTGTATATCCTTGTTATTGACATGCTACATCCCATCATCAACTGGAGCCAAGCCCCTGCTGATCCTCTTGAGTTTTGCGGAATGGGGTAGGCCTGGAGTTTAGGGTTTAGGGATTCGGGTTCAGGGATTAGGGTTTAGGGATTAGGGCTTGCGGTTTAGGGCTTAGGGTTTAGGGTCTAGGATTATGATTTAGGGCCCTCCCTGTACTTGGTGCGCCCTCATTGTACTCAAAATGGGTCATGAGGCTGCAGATGCTCCTTGCAGAAGGGGCTCCAATGTGGACCTGGCATCTATGACTCTTATCGAGGGGCTCTGTGACTTTTTCAGTTGTGGGGCATGTGGTGCCTCCCTCTTCTAAGTCTTTGCCATAGTCCTCAGTTCAAGTAGTGGTTGACTGCGCGCTTCTGGAATGGCGCTTAGCAACTTACCCCATCGGAATCACATGAACGAAGCTAGGCCCTTATTATCAGCCCAGTTTCCCTTGAACCAAGTCCTGCCCAGCTTGGTTAGGACCCTGTAACACTAATGCTTAAACCCCTTATACCCCCTTTCTAAG